CAAGCAGACGGTGGTATGGGGGGTATAAATCGCCGGGGGCTGCATTTAGGCGGTATTTAGCATGCAAGCCAGCAAGATAGCCAGGTGAGCACTTAAGAGCCAGCGGTCCTGGATTGTGAGAGGGATCCCGGATTGGAGAAGGTGCAGGCTGGGCTGAGGGGACCCCCACCTCCAGTGCATAAATTTTGTGCACTGGGCCTCTAGTCCATTTATACATTTTTTTTTATTGATTTCAGAGAGAGGAAGGGAGAGGAGAGATAGAAACATCAAAGATGAGAATCATTGGTTGGCTGCCTCCTACATGACCCCCAATGGAGACTGAGCCCGCAACCCAGGCATGTGCCCTGACTGGAAATTGAACCTTGACCTCCTGGTTCATGGGTCAACACTCAATCACTGAGCCACACCAGCCAGGCAATTTTGTTTTGTTAATCTTTACCAGAAGATATTTTTTCCATTGCTTTTCAAAGAGAATGGAAGGGAGGGAGGATAGGACAGAATGAGAGAGAGAGAGAGAGAGAGAGAGAGAGAGAGAGAGAGAGAGAGAGAGAGAGAAACATTGATATGAGAGAGATACAATGACTGGTTATCTCCCAGAGGACAGGGAGCAAACCTGTAACCCAGGGACGTGCCCTTGATCGGAAATCAAACCTGTGACCCTTTGGTGCGCAGGCTGCCACTCTAACCACTGAAAAACACCAGCCAGGGAAAATAGCTTCACATTTTAATGGAACTAAGTTAACATTCCCCTTCTACAAATGAGCAGTAAAAAAATCATTCTGAGGAAACTAGAGTTTTGGTTTGGAAGGAGAAGGGGGGGTAAAGTTTGGAATTCACAAAATCTCACAGGTGAAAGGTGAAAGGTTCCTCAGAAGTCCTCTGGCTCAGCTGGCCACGTGACATCTGGTCTACAACAATCAGATATGGCCTTTGAGCCTATTATGACTACCATCAGCAAGAGAGGACTTAATGCTGCCTGGAGAATTCACACCCTTTGCCAAGAGCTCTGTTATGATAAAAGTCATAGGTAGCAGGGCCCTAAACGGTTTTGCTCAGTGGATAGAGCGTTGGCCTGTAGACTGAGGGGTCCCGGGTTTGATTCTGGTCAGGGGCACATGCCCAGGTTACAGGCTTGATCCCCAGTACTAGTGGGGGGCATGCAGGAGGCAGCTGAAAAATGATTCTCTTTCATCATTGATGTTTCTATCTTTCTCTCCCTCTCCCTCTCCCTCTCCCTTCCTCTCTGAAATCAATAAAAAAAAAAGTCATTGGTAGCAGGGGAAGGGATGCTATTTGTCCTGGGGATGGTAATGGGCAGGGCAGGCTTCCTGGGGGAAGTAATGCTTCAGCAAAGTCTTAGATGTGCAGTTGTTAGCCAGGTAAAGAAGGAAAATGGTGTTTTCAACTGAGGGAACCATAAATTCAAAGACAGGGCAGCACAAGAAAATGAGGCATGTTCAAAAATTTGGATATGCTGCAGCATGGCTGGTGCATAGGGTGTGTGAGGAAGTGTGCAAACTACTATGGATGGAGGAAGGCAGGGACCAGAGGTGATGAGGGGTATGAACTGTAGACAGGAAAGTAACATGGTTAGATATGAGTGCAGCTCTTTCTGGCAGTACTGTGAAAGACAGTTTGGGGAATCCATGGAGTATGTGATTCTAGTCAATCTTGAACATTAATGAATACTCAAATGTTCCAGTAAATGCAGATATTAAAAGCAATAATGTCAATAAAACTTTTCTTTTTACAGCAAAAGTAGAAACATTAACTATATAAACGTATTTTTCTTAACTAAAATTATGCTATATATGTTGTCCTCCATTCTATTTTTTTGCTTACTATATTCAGTTATTTGTCTACCACATGATATCTGTAAATAATCCAGATGCAAGTTAGACAACTGATTCAAATTTCTACATTAAAGAATCTACTTACATCCTTTAGAGTAATAATGTTTGGATGCTGTCCATAACGAAGAAGAATTTCAATTTCCTCTGTTGGGTCTCTCTTGCTTTTATCAATAATCTAAAAGGCAAATAATAATTACAAAATCTCATGAACTCTACAGTTATAAACCATAAGTATTTATAGCAACAGACAATGGGTAGCATCTTATGTAAACACTGTATATATAAGCCATTTATTAACCAGTTTTACTCAAGTACCTGGCCAGACTGTCTAATCAAAATTCAAAACCCAGTCTTGATGTAGATGACAAGGCTGTAAAGTAAATTCCATGCTAAGAATCACATTTCTACCAGGTCTCTCCAGTTTAAGTGTGCAGTAAGTTTAGGACTCATTAAAACGCAAAATCTTCAAGAAAAGGTACCAAGAACACAGTTAACATCTTTCTTTCATCCTTAAACATCTTAAACTTTAGGGAACTCAGTCAACTTCTAAGTCCTGTCAACACAGATACTTAAGAGCAACATATACACGGTGCTCCCCAAACATGTATACACACTTTAACAGCTGATAGCTCAATTGATGTTTCTTTCTTTTCAGCCAGACTAAGTTTTGAACAAAGGAAATTCATCCTAAAATGCTACTGGAAGTTTAAAAATGAAGTTGAAGTACAAACACTGCTTTTATAATTATTCAAAGTGTGTATACATTTCTGGGGGACACATGGATCTATATCTATATCTATATCTATATTTATATCTATATCTATATCATCTATCTATATATATCAGCACTACTAGCATCTGTGTATCGAATTAACTTTACTTCCTTTAATAAAATGCTTCAATGGAATATCCCATTAGTTGTAAGCTACTTATAAAAAATTAATTAACAGTTCAGTAGAGCAAGATTATTTTTGAAGCTAGGCAGAAAGCTAAGCAGAAAACCACACCTAGAGTTTTACTTGGCTAGAATTAAGTTTAATTATTATAATAAAGCCCTTTAAAATACTAACGTAGCTTTCCAGCCCTTTTATGTCAGCTGCTTCTTAAAAATACTTCTCTTAATGTTTTAATGTAAAGTAATATTGCATTTAAATAAGGTTTGCTTTCATATCATCCAAAAGGCAGTCGGAAATAAATTTTGTGACCTTCTTTTCTTTTCTTTTTTTTCATGTATGGGGCGTAATGTTACAGGAAGGCCATAGTACCCTGCCACCTGTAAAGAGTAAGCCCAAGTTGCTTTTGGATGTGTTATACACAGAGGAGCCACTCTTCAGGCGCTCTGCTCTCTTCACACCCAACTTATTTTCAATTTTAAAACAGCATAGTAATTAACGTATGCAATAAATACCCAAATGCTCTAGCAACCTAGCTTGCAACTCTCAACATGAGCTAAATCTGCTATTTGAAATGGATTTAGTTGTAAAACAGTTCTGTAGTTGGAAAACAGGGAAGACAGACATATAGGTGTCCACTGCAATCAATTGTAAAATAATAGTGTGGAATTAGGCAAATGGATGATTAAGAGGAACGGTATATGGAATAGACATGCCAATTCAAGGGATATGATCTGGGGTTAGTCTTCTGAGAACCAGAACACACTGGAAGTGTTATTTTTGGCAACATTCTGATCTGCTAATCTGAGCCCAGCTCACATTAAATCCATACTTATGCTTGTGGATCTTAGATTTGTAGTAATTTCAGTAGAACCAAGTTGTGCTGGGATTGGTTTTATGACTCTAATTTAACCCTTTGCACTCCGAACCATTCTGGACATTGGCTACCAGCTACTCGACGCTACTTTGCGGCGGAAACGTGCATTTACAGACCCTCGTATTATTTAGTATAATTTTGGAACCAAGTAACGTATTATAATGATATTGGACTTATATGAATTGGGTGACATCGAGGAATGTATATTTGCAAAAAAACCCAATATTTTATTGTTTATAATTTTGTACAGTATGATAAGTTTTGTAACACTCCCCAATATGCATTGCAGGCTGATTAGTGCATGTTTGACAGTAATAAGTGGTTTGACGCCTGCCACCAGGTGTTTTCCTGTTAGAACACACAATGCAGTCCCGTTTTCTTTGTCCCACATTGGGAATATGTAGTTTATTGTTTAATCCGACACAAAACCCGCTGACATTTCTTGTATATATCTTAGTAATTTTACGATATTTTGATTTAATTTCTTTTGCCATTTCAAGATAAAACTTCAGGGAAACATGCATGTCTCAAAAAGTTGCGTTGAAATAACTCAATTCCCCGTAATCACTAATAAACTGCAATGTCCCCTGAGAGGGGACATCCGAGTGATATGCTAGAATTCCGATGTCCCCTGAGAGGGGACAGCGGAGTGCAAAGGGTTAAATCACAATAATCCACAAATAGCTTCAAGATATTCTCAAGGTTTTGGTATACAGCTCCTGGTTTCTGTAATTCAAAGGGGGCCTCAGGACATTTTTGCTTTTTTCTGATGTGTTTATGGAGGCAAGGTAATCCTTAAACTATCTACAAAGTACGTTATTCACTGTTTCTCCTTTCATGTAAGTAATTTGAAAATTTCTATGTGCCCCAACTTTCATTATGAGAAATTAGTATACGAGCAAATTAAAATGTATTTCTGGTTTATCTTTATAGCTGACAGGAAGCCTTATGGACAATGGTGTCTTTTTAAAGCAATTAGATACAAGTTTAGAATAGTAATAATAATTTGTGTGTGTATATGCCTTCTCAGATATTTGCTATCCTATATAATAAAAGGGTAATATGTAAACAGACCGAACAGCAGAACAACCAATCAAAGTGTAATATGCTAATGATATGCTAAGGATGCTAAACCACTCACTATGATGTGCACTGACCACCAGGGGGCAGACAGTCAACTGGTCGACCAGTCGCTATGAAGTGCACTGACCACCAGGGGGAAGGGGTCCCTCAGCCTGTCCTGTGCCCTCTTGCAATCTGGGACCCCTCAGGGGATGTCAGAGAGCTGGTTTCAGCCCAATCCCACAGATCACTCCCCTTGGGAGGGTGCCAGACACAGGGCTCATGGCTGGCGAGCGCTGCTGTGGCAATGCGAGCCTCTCCCAATTGGGACTGATTGGGCGAGAGCCCACGCAGGCACAGTGGGATGAGCAGGAGCGGCAGATAGGAGCTGCAAGCAGTGCTGGACTGTGGGTTTTAGCCTGATCCCTGCAGGCCACCCAGAGGGACTCCACCCATGCATGAATTCGTGCACTGGGACTCTAGTCTATAATAATAAAAGCGTAATATGCTAATTAGACTGGACGTCCTTCCTGATGACCTTCTGGATGAAGCCGTGGTGGTTGGGCAGGGGCCAAGGCAGAGGCAATAAAGGCCCTGGCGGCCGGGGGCCGAGGCGGAGGTGGCCCCCACAGCGGCGGGGGCTGAGCCCCTTGCATGAATTTCATGCACTGGGCCTCTAGTGCATGTATAAAACACATTCATTTTTATTTTTACACTAGGGGCCCGGTGCACGAAATTCGTGCGGGGGGGGGGGCCCTCAGCCCAGCCTGCCCCCTCTCACATACTGGGAGCCCTCAGGGGATGTCCTAAGCCGCAGTCTGGCCTCCCTTTGTGGGAGGCGACCGGGCTGATCAGGGGAAGGCACCAACCCCATCACCCCGCTGCTGCAGCCACTGCCAGTCACCGCAGCCACCAAGGTGTTTTCATCAACATGGACTCCAATCCCTTCACCATGAAAAAGTGACAACTTTCTTTAGGCATTTTCAAGATGTGTCTTTCATAGGATATGACATTTCTTTATTATTTTTTTATCCTCACGTGAGGATATGTTTCCATTGATTTTTAGAGAATGTGGAAGAGAAAGAGAAAGACAGAGAGAAACATCAAAGTGAGAGGAACACTTTGATTGGTTGCCTCCAGCATGAGCGCTGACCTGGGCCCCAGCCAGGGAAGAGCCTGCAACCTAGGTATATGCTGTTGGTCAGAATTGAACCCAGACCCTTTGGTAGGCAGGCCGAGGCATCATCTACTGAGCCAAACCGGCTAGGGCAGGATATGATATTTCTTAGCCCCTCCAGCAGCAGACCTTCGTTTTTTTCTCCAGGAGTGAGGTGGAAAAACCCTACATCACCTTCTTCGATTCTTATTACCCAAGTTACTAAGAATATTACCAGTGGCATACAGGGAGCTTAGCCAATGAGCGGTCAGAAAAGGTGTTTCCTCTGTAGTTCACACCGATCCCCACCTCGGCCCCTGCCAAGGGGACCTCCAGCCCGCTCAGATAGCAGGCTCCGCCCTTGCCCAGGCCAGAGGGGCATTAGGTCTGGGCAGGGGAACCCCAGTCCGCTCCGATCCCCTGCCCAGGCCTAAGACCTCTGGCCAGGGCCTTTAGCCTGGGCAGGGGACCCCCAGCCCGCTCCAATTGCAGGCTCCGCCCCTGCCCAGGCCTCAGGCTTCTGGCCGGGGTGATTGCCAGCTCTGCCTCCCCGGGTGGCGTCTGGCGCTGCCCGCCCCGCCTCCCTGGTCCCCGATCTGCGTCCCGGATCCTGCGGGGGCGTCTGGCACTGCCCGCCCCACCTGCAGTATGCAAATTTAATGGCCATCTTTGTTGGGTTAATTTGCATACTCTTCTGATTGGCTGGTGGGTGTAGCGAAGGTACGGTCAATTAGCATCTTTGTCTTTTGTGTAGATAGAAATCATACTATATATTTAGATAAATAGATGGGTGGATGGAAGTAATCCCAATTAATGCCACTTTCCCACTAACTGAACAGGAGCTGCCCATACTTATAGACCAGCCGTGGGCAAACTATGGCCCGCGGGCCGGATCCGGCCCGTTTGAAATGAATAAAACTAAAAAAAAAAAAGACCATACCCTTTTATGTAATGATGTTTACTTTGAATTTATATTAGTTCACACAAACACTCCATCCATGCTTTTGTTCCGGCCCTCTGGTCCAGTTTAAGAACCCATTGTGGCCCTCGAGTCAAAAAGTTTGCCCACCCGTTATAGACTATTTCTAAGCTTGTAGGTAAGTTGAAAGCTTTAGACATTACTTGAATTGCTTGCAATGGGAGAGCAGAGGCTACCATTCCAATAAGTGAAAAGGCAGAGACTTGATATTTGTTCACTTTCAACTAAAGGTTTGCAACTCAAACTTTATCATAGAGCCATGTGTCTTGGTTTTGGCTTAGAAAAATCTTGATGCCTTAGAACACCTGATAAAATTAAAACAGCTAATGATAATATACTTAATGTTAGTGGTTCTTATTCTTTTATTGGTTCACAGATCCTTTTAAATGTGAAGAATGGTAAGAACATTGTTGCTAGAAAAATGTAAACATACAACATTTGGTATACAATCTTGAGGAATTCCCTGACACCTTGACTATAAAATGGAAGCTTCTGAAAGCAAAAGGGATGCTACAAAAAATCAGGTCAGTGTAAACTGGTACTGCCCTAAGCAAACTGGATGTACGCTACCTTACCTTTTTAGCTCACAGGGGAATCCACTGTAATGGATGGTTCCCTGATAATCACTAGCCAGATATTTAAATTAACTTTACCTTTTTATAACAAAAGGCACATTTACCAAAGAAGAGTGTAATGTTTAACTGGTACTGACATGCATGAATAAAAACTGTTAAAGTTGCATTTTAAATCTAAAATGACTTACCTTTACTGCAAACTCCATGTTTGTGGCTTTATGTATACATCTCTTACAAACAGAGTAGGAGCCAACTCCAATATCTTCTTTCACTTCATATCCATCAGTAAACTGAATACTGTTCCTGTGCAACTGCTACAAATACAATTATAAATTGACAAAGAGTTCTGTACTGACTTTGGTACATTTCATAATAGGGGAATATATTACTCAACATGAATTACTGATGTTAACTACAAATGAATATCAGTAAAAATAAAAACCAATCTTTACAAGCTTTATTCTTCCACAACTGTGTATTTTAGAAGTGTCTACAATAAAATGTACAGCATGAAATATGCCCTTTAAAAAACCTTAAGTTAAATTCAAAAAATTAAATATTTACAACAGAAAATGCAGAACTACTTGATGGACTGACAGCCTCGCCTGTGACTGAGCCCCAAGTACCTTTGCAAATAGGGAGAAGTTTCACACCTGGATTGAACACCTGGATTTTTGTCTCAGATGTACCACTTGTAGGTTGTGTAATCTTGAACTTGTGTTTTCTCAGAGGGTAATGGTGAGGATTAAATAACATTATTTGAAGGTGATATCTATTATCATCATTTTGGACTATCTGTAGCCATGCCTTCCTTTCTCCACCCTCAAGTCATAGCTTCAATACAACTTCTGCTAGAGAAGCCATTCATAGGTTAAGGACTAATAACATGAAGGATGATGAACAGTAAATTACTGGTTCCATAAACACACTGAGGGAAGTTCTACTGCCCTGAGCGATAGTGATAGATCCTCCCACCCCCATACCTATGAGCTTCATATAAGTTAAAAGTTGAATTCTATAGAATATTTTGCAATTTCTATGTTAGGTACAGAAGTTATCTCTTTACAACTTGCCATACACCACATAGTTGTCACAGTAAAAGAGAAAGACTATTTTAACCTGAACTTTGTTCAAAAACCACTGTTTAAATTGGTTTTCTAGAAAGTGGAGAAAGCAGCATGACTGACTCATAAAATAAACTTAAGAGCAAAAGCAACTTAATTATCAAGCAAATTCAAGCACTAATTATACCCTCAAAACAATTCCCTCTATGACTAGGAAGATGAATTAAATTTATCTTTCCATGATACTAGAATGAGAAGAAATAAATCTAATGTTTTGTACTTGTGTCCTCTAATAACATTTAATTTAATAGTTCAAGTCTCCTGTTACAAACACACCTACATATCTAGAAACCTGCTTCTGTGGTTTTTACATTTTTTTCTAGCTCTGATGATCATATGGGATAATGAGATAGAAGGCACCTTAAGACAGTACCCATAACCATTTCTGCATAATGACAATGGGGGCTCCAAAAGAACAAGGACACAAAACTTAGCAGACTTAAGATTTAAGTTCATTTTTATTTCTTAAATGTTTTTATGACAGAGGTTGGCAAACTATGGCCTGTGGGCCAAATCTGGTTCACTATTAGTTTTTCTAAATAAAGTTTTATTGGAACACAGAGATGCACATTCATTTTTGTATTGTCAATGGCTGCTTTTGTGCTGCAATGGCAGAGCTGAGTAGTTGCAACAGAGATCATATAGCCTACAAAGCCTCAAGTATTTATCATCTGGCCCTTTACAGAAAAAGTCTGCTAACCCCTCTTTTAAAGCAATCAGGGAACCAGGAGGCCTCAGTTCATCATAGCTGACCTGACAGAGGCAGAGGTTGAAACAAACTAGGCCTGATAAACATTTTGAGGCACAGGATAGGGGAGAGACAAGATGGTGATATTTATCTCAACTCTCTTAGAAGTCCACTTTTAAGTCAGACAAGTATTCAGGATTCTGGTGCGTGCAACCTTTTCAAAGGCATATGAAAAAAACTTCTAAGACTAACATCAATGATATAAAATGTATTTTAAGCTGCTCACTTAAGCCAGCAGATAAAATCTAAGCTAATTATTCATACAATGAACTATATCTTACATTTCAAACTTAAAATTACTTAGACATTCACTCACCTGAACAATTGAATGCACACCAACTGTCTGCATAGCTTGGCTTTCGTCATCTGAGGTAATAGCAACAAAACTAAACCCCCGAAAAAGCTGATGTGCATTAGCACTAGGTGGAATGCCAGGTGAATCTGAAAAAAATAATAAATTACCAAGAAGGTGATTACTTTGAAAGGCAATTAAGGGAAGAATTGTCCACATTATAATCTTTCACACTTTTTTCAGGAATTCTACATCTCAGGCACCTAGTACTTTCAGGATAACCCAGGGAGGAACTGTACCAGATCTGCCCTGATGGCTTATTGCCATCATAACTCTAATATCATATTCCCTCAGAGTCCAGAAAACAGCAAATTCACTTAAGAATATAATAAATCGATGAATTACTGGGCTAATGCTATTTTAAATTAGCACTGTCCCATAGAATTGCCTGCAGTGATGAACATTTTCTTTATCTGTGCTGTCCAAAATGGTAGCCACTAGCCACATGCAACTACTGAGCATCTGAAATGTGGTTAGTGTGACTGGGAAACAAAAATTTTAATTTTAATTAACTTAGGTTTAAATAACCACATGTGGCTACTGGCTACCATATTGGATGGTGCAGCCCTAAATGGTAACCTACCAATGTTATGGCTCCTGGTTAGGGGGAGATACAAGGGTGACCTACAGATAATTTAGGAGAAAAGAATTTAGTTCAGTGGTCTCAAGACATAATGTCAGAATTTAAAAATCTAAACTACAAGTTAAAAATTATTATATATATTTAAGGAACAAAAGTAATTTCTAGGATAATCATGGTATGCAATCCTTAAAATATATTTATGACACAATATGTATTGTTATTCAAATTATTTGTTGGAATCTACTGGTATTAATAGAAGTAGAAAAATGCTTTTACAGTATAGCTAATGTTCTCTTTAAAGACATAAACACACAATTAGGCATACTAATATTGATAAACATACTCTAAAGGCTAAGGGCAAGCAAAAAACAAATAGGTAAATCTACTTAAACATCAACTCTGTATAAAGGTCTTTTTGAACATCAGCTTGATATTCTCAGCAATATATAATTTAGTGAATTTTAAACCAATTATTATACTGAAGACTTCTGCTAAGAGAACCTATCTGGGCAGAATCCAATATAGAACTGTTCTATTCTGAGATTTTCCCTCTACCAGGACAAACTGTATTGAGAAAGCAAAGTAAAACACCACTACATATCAACTCTATGCATATTACTGTCCATGTATTTGCTAAAATTTTGTCCATACATTAATCCAAATTTCTAAGACTGTCTCATAAAAAGAATAAACACTCTTCAACGCTCAATGTAGATTGTGAAGATTTTGTCTAGAAAGCTTTATAGCAAGGTTTGAGTGATGTATTCTATGGAAAATATATGTAAATACACTTTCTATTTATTTACTTGTCAATGATAAACCTGGGGTCCGGTAAACCTAAATGAGAGAGTATTAGAGTACAAAACACATCATTATGTATAAACATATGCTAATTAATGAAATATAGATGGTCATTTCAAAGATTATTTCTATAATAAAGCATGATTCAGGATATGGTTTATTTTGAAGTTATCAATCCTCATATAAAGTTTAAGTTATGTTTGGGATTTGAACTTTACAAGTACTTCCAGAATATCACCTAATATTAGAATTTTAAAGAGAACTATTTATACTAAAGAGTATTTCATGTAAAAATAGCTACAGGTAAATAAACACACAAATAGTTTTTCCATATAAATAGAATCAAAGTTTAAGGCACAATATAACTTGCTACAAGATTTCACAAGGATCTTAACCGCTTTAAAATGCTGTAAAGGATTTCCTAATTACTTAGTTACTAGAGGCCCGATGCACAAAATTCGTGCAAGAGTAGGTCTTCCTTCCCCTGGCTGCCAGCACCGGCTTCCCTCTGGCACCCGGAACCTGGGCTTCCCTCCAGCCGCCGGCAAGCACCCGGGACCCAGGATTCCCTCACAGCCCTGGCTTCATACGGAAGGTCGTCAGGAAGGACATCTGGTCTAATTAGCATATTATACTTTATTTTAGACTAGAGGCCCAGTGCATGAAATTTGTGTGTGTGTGTGTGGGGGGGGTCCCTCAGCCCGGCCTGCACCCTCTCCAATCCGGGACCCCTTGAGGGATGTCCGGCAGTCGGACATCCCTCTTGCAATCCGGGACTGCTGGCTCCTAACCACTTGCCTGCCTGCCTGCCTGATCACCCCCTAACTGCCCTCCCCTGCCGGCCTGATTGCCCCCTAATTGCTCTCCCCTGCCGGCCTGATCGTCTCTAATGGCCTCTGTGTCAGCCCTTGCCACCGTGGCTTTTTCTGGAAGAATGTCTGGAAGATGTCCGGTACAATTAGCATATTACCCTTTTATTAGTATAGATTGTGGCAGGGATGTGGTATGAATGGCTACCATATTGGATGGTGCAGCCCTAAATGGTAACCTACCAATGCTATGGCTCCTGGTTAGGGGGATATACAAGGGTGACCTACAGATAATTTAGGAGAAAAGAATTTAGTTCAGTGGTCTCAAGACATAATGTCAGAATCTAAAAATTAAACTGGAAAAGATTTCCTGATTGAACAAGAAAAATATTATTGCCTGACCAGTGTGGCTCAGTGGCTGAGCATTGACTCATGCACCAGGAGGTTGCCAGTTCGACTCCGGTCAGTGCACATGCTTGGATTGCTGGCTCAATCCCCAGTAGGGGGTGTGCAGGAGGTAGCCAATTGATGATGTTTTTCTCTCATTGATATTTCTATCTCTCTATCCTCTCCCTTCCCCTCCCTCTAAAAATCAATAAAAACATATTTTAAACAAATTAAAAATATATTCTTATATTTGGGTTTTCATGTTTTCTCCTTACCTTTGGGAGTTTTTGCAGTAAACTCAGGATCAAAATAGAATGTATCTTCAGGCCTGCCAGTTGCAGGTTTAAAAGGTGGATGAATTTCTCTTCTGTATAGTTTCTGAAGGAAAAAAGAGAGACTTAGACATGTGTTAATTATAAAAAAAAAGTCAAGTAAGTTTTCATTCTATACTTACATTCCAATCTATTGTTGAGAAAAATAAATGTCTTTTAATTTCTTCCACTCCATCTGGTCCTGCACCTATCAAAAATTAACCAGTTTTGATTAAATGGTAATTTTATTTCAAGGAGGAATATATATTGTTTATTTAGACTTCATTTTTAATATTTGTCCTAATAGTTCATAATCCCACAACAAAAACAAATATCAGCCCCCCCTTCCCCCAAACCAAATCCCAACAAACACACAAAAGAAACAAAATAAAAATGTTACCTAATCTGTTTGCAGGATTTCGTTTGAAAAGCATTCGTAAAAGACTCTGGGCTTCAGGACTCAAAAACTGTGGCATCCCAAGTTTAGCTCTAAATAATAAATCCACATGATAACATTTTATTTTTTGGAGGTAACTATTTTATTTTTTAAATTAAATTTTTATTTTAAGGTAATTGTGGATTCACACTCAGTTGTAAGAAACGAGAGAGAGAGAGAGAGAGAGAGAGAGAGAAAGAGAGAATATGTGTACCCTTTACCAAGTTTTGTCTAAAGGTAACATCTTATAAAACACTGTCATAACTAGGATATTGACATTGGTACAATCCACTGATCTCATTCAGATGTCTTCAGTTTTAATTTTAATTGCATTGTGTGTGTGTGTGTGTGTGTGTGTGTGTGTGTGTGTGTGTGTTTAGTTCTATCACAAATAAAGGTTCTTATATCCAACACCACAGTAAAAATACTGACCAGTTCATCACCACCAGGATCCCTCATGTTGCCCCTTCATAACCGCACCCACATTTCTCCCTCCCGAATTCCTAACTACTGGAGACCACTAAGCTATTCTCCATTTCTATATTTTTGTCATTTTAAGAATGTTATGTAAATGGGGTCATACAGTAGGTAAGCTTTTTTTTTTCTTACTCAGCATGAATTCCCTTCAGATGTATCCAAGTTATTGTGTATACTGATAGTTCATTCCTTTTTATTGCTAAGTAATAGTATTCCATGGCACAAATGTACCACATTTTGTTTATCTATTTACCTGTTAAACTAGGATACCTGGATTGTGTCCAGTTTTGGGCTACTATAAACAAAGTTGCTAAGACCATTTGTGTATAAAGTTTTGGTGTGAACACATAATAATTTTAGTCCATAATGCCCTAATGAACTTTTTCATTTTTCAGAATTTTACAAAAAGCACTATTGTGAGAGTAAGATCATCTGAGTCCTAGTTCTGGCACTTTTCTAAGAACTTTGTGACCTTGGAAAAGTCAATCCCCTTGGGCCTGTTACCACTTCTTCATAAGCAAGGGGATGGGACATTAGATCAATGGTTCTTAAACTGTACCCTTGGAACCCCTTTTCAAAAGGAATTTAAGAAATCCAAGATTTAAAACTGCTAAAAGAACATGTGCTTCTTACGTTTATTTTTCTTTCTCATTCCCTTTAATAGGCATGCAGGGAAGAGGAGTTGGTGGGAAAGGGGTCTGTGGAATATTTGAGATTGTAGCACACAGTCTGAAAACCACTGGCCTGGATGAGCTTGAAGGTCTGTTTCAACTCTAATATATAATTTTATTCTTTTCTCCAACCTACAAATTATGGAAACCAATGATCCTATAAGTACGAAAATAGTAACAGTTGGAGAAAATGGCTAGCAGAGAAATTTCTATTTCAGAAATAGATCCATTTATTATTCAGCGTGTTATTGAGCTACTATGTGCTAAACACTGCTTAGTGCTTAGGGTACAGAGATAAAGACAGCCTCCGATGGGTAGTAGGGAAGATGGATATAGATAATCCTGGTAATTTAAGAGACAAATCCAGAAGGACATATGGAAAGAATGCTAAGGAAACAGTAGGGAATATCAAAATTTAGCACAAGAGATTGTGAAAGGTCTTCAATGCAATTTAAAGGTTGAGAATTTATTCATTTGGCCAGTGTTTCTCCAACATTTTACTGAATAGCATTAATCTCTCTAGATAGTTAACAACAACAAAACATTTTCATGGTCCAATGAGTTTGTGGAATGCTATCTATTATACCCCCCTGCTGAAACCATAGAATTTAATACATTACATATAAAAGGCTGAGACATCTAGAGTAAAAAAAAATCAGTATTTTTCTAAACATTTGTTTCTAACAACTCTGTCTCAGAGAATACCCATTAATATCTTATAGAGTTAGGGTTCGGTTGGACAAATCTGGGGAAACATTTCCATATTAGGTAATAGGGATACAGCAGTGGTCTTTAAACAGTGGACTAACATGACCAGATTTATTTTCAAGAAGGTAACTCCAAGGGTAGTATAAAATTATCTGGAGTGGGAAGCACTGGTAGGTAATAGACAGTCTACTTAGAAGCTTTGACCCATTAGTGTGCGCAGGAGATCACCATGGTCTGAAAACTGTAAGCAGTTCAATGCAAAGGAAAGGCTGAGACTCTAAAATATTTCTGACAGCAAATTTGGTGAATACCTGCATATGCAAGAAAAAAATAAAAAATGATTTCCAGGTTTTTGGCTGCATGGAAATGCTACTAATTGGGAATACAAGAAAAAAAAAGTACAGCAAATAGAGATAAAAACGTTAAGTGATGCATGTCATACATTTTGGGAGAACTAGGCAAGGGAATAAATGAAAATATAGGTCTTGTGTCTGCTAAGTTAAGATAAGAAAGTGTGATCTGGGAGTAATTAAAATGCTGAAAGTAGTTATAAGGAAAGACAGGAAAGTGAGCACAGAGGGGCAGAAAAGCATTTTAGAGATGCAACCCTGGGTAACAAGAACATTTAAAAGTGATCAGAATAAGGACAATTTGGGCATCAAAAATAATGAATGCAATTGGCTGAATCACACTGATTATTAAATCCCACAAGTTCATTATAGGGAAAAAAAGGCAAAACTAACATAAAAACCAAAGTCATTGGACACAACCCCCAATGAAAGTAATTAGGGCTCTCACAACTAAATTAAGAAAATAATTAAACATTTATTCTGCCTTTCTTCTTTGAGCCTTATTTAAAGGTAACTAAATAGCCCTAGTTGAAGAGGGAAAGTTCATTGTTTCAAAAACAACAACAACAAAACAAAAAAACCAAACAAAAACAAAACACCAAAAACACAACCACCACCCAACTAATAAATGAAAGAATAACAGTAATAGAAAACCACTATTTTGAAGCCCTAGTAAAATAACTGTTTCAAGTAATGATTATCAATAGATGAAACCAGCAGATGAAAGCCTGACAGGGAACTTTACAATGGAGGAATCAGTTGTAGCCATGGGAATTAAGCATTTAAAGTGGAACAACCAGATGTAAGCCTCTTGATGTGATGCAACAGCATGAGCTATGAAATAATCTTGCCAAAAAAGTTTAACCAGAAACAGGATAAAGGAACAAGTTAAATGGTATCACAAGGAGAATAAAGATATTTGCATACTCTTACAAAAAGAATTGTTATGTTACCATGGTAGCAAGAGAGCCACCAAAACTGGTTTTAAATCCATTCAATTGATGAAAGACAACTTGCCCAGGTGTACATAGTTGGTTGTTTTTGCAAACCAACCAATGGCTCTCTGTGAAAATTAGCCAAACACTAACCACACCTGAATGCCAATTGACCCAAGTAACCACATTCTTAGAGATGATGTCAATCCACTTATGGCCCTGAAAAGCTGCCACGTCTTGAACTCCACCCTTCCCCAAAACCATATAAAGCAGTGGTTCTCAACCTTCCTAATGCCCCGACCCTTTAATACAGTTCCTCATGTTGTGGTGACCCCCAACCATAAAATTATTTTTGTTGCTACTTCATAACTGTAATTTTGCTACTGTTATGAATCGTCATGTAAATATCTGATATGCAAGATGTATTTTCATTGTTACAAATTGAACATAATTAAAGCATAATGATTAATCACAAAAACAATATGTAATTATATATGTGTTTTCCGATGATCTTAGGCGACCCCTGTGAAAGAGTCGTTCAACCCCCAAAGAGGTCGCGACCCACAGGTTGAGAACCGCTGATATAAAGGAACAGTGGTCTGCTCTCCTTGGAAAGACTTTACTGAACCAGCATTGCCTTTCCTTACTATAGTAAGCAATACAATCAGCTTTGTGCTTTTTGTTTCAGATATTGAGAGTGGTCTTATCTTTTCACAGATAAAATTAGAAAAAAATAATTCTAAACTGACTGACTTGGTTTCTACAAGTAAGTGTCAAGGGGGTGGGGCAGGGGTAGAATGTTCTAGATCAGCCATGGGCAAACTACGGCCCGCGGGCCGGATCCGGCCTGTTTGAAATGAATAAAACTAAAAAAAAAAAAAAAGACCATACCCTTTTATGTAATGATGTTTACTTTGAATTTATATTAGTTCACACAAACACTCCATCCATGCTTTTGTTCCGGCCCTCTGGTCCAGTTTAAGAACCCATTGTGGCCCTCGAGTCAAAAAGTTTGCCCACCCCTGTTCTAGATGAACAGAAGCTTAAGAAATACAACCAAATGAAATGAGCAGACTTAATTTAGGACTATAAAAACACCGTTTTGGAGACTATCTGAAAAATCTGGTGAAACATTGGTATTAGATAATACCCAAGCATTATTACTACTTTTGTTAGATGTGGTTATGTAAGAAAACATCCATACTTTTTAGTGATGCAAACTGAAGTAGGTGAGAAATGACATGTTTGGAATGCTTAAAATATTTCAGTAAATTAGAAAAAAAGGAACACTTGAAACAAATGTCACAAAATCTTGATGACTGTTGAATCTGGGTGACTGATATATGTGTGTTCACTGTATTATTCTATTTTTGCAAATTTATGTTTGAAAAATTTCATAATTAAAAAGAGAAAGGCAGGCAGAGAAGAAATGGTCAAGCAAGAGACCAAAAGAGGAATGGTTAGAGGTAGGAGAAGCCGATGGGAGCAGGAAAAACTAAGGGGGGAGGGAGTGGCCAACAATGTCAAAGACCTCTCAGATCTTCCTTAACTGTCCCTTCTAAAATGGCTCCTGCCCTTGCCCCCACGCTTCAAGAGTACCCTGGTTTATTATCCCTATTCCTCCTATTAATATCTGAAATTATCATATTTATTTGTTTAAATATTAATTCCTGTCTGCCCCAGTAGAATGCAAACTCTGACCACAGATGTCAGTCTTGTTCACACTGCATCATAAGTATCTGTAACAAGATCTCAATCATCTGTTGAATGAATTGTGTGAACACATGGTAAAAAGTCACCTTTCTAATAATTTGCCACTGGATTAAGCAACTAAATCACTCATGACAATAGTGAGAGAAGTTTCAATAGAGTAGTGAGAAGGAATGACAGACTACAGAACAAAAGCAGCCCAAAAATGCTAAAAGAAAAACTACTCTTTCAAGAGGCTTGTGTTGAAATGATGCAGGAAGATGGTGCAGAAACTTGGAAGGCAAGGCAGGTCAAAAAAGTTGTTTCTCTTTTCCAACACTAGAGTGTGTTTGTTAGCTTAAAGAAAAGGGCCAGAGTAGATGGGAGTGATAAAGGTTCAGTGAACATTCATTTATACAGCAAACATTTTAAACCTCTTTTTTATTGTGAAGGAAAACATAAAGTGCAAAACAATCCAACCCAGAATACACAGCTCAATGATTTACCACAAAGTGAATAGTCATCTGACTAAGAAATGTAACATTGCTAGAACCCTTCATCCAATGTAACCACTTTCCTTATTTTGCCTCAGGCTCTTGTGATCTAAATGTAGACCCTAAAATCTAGGCTTTAGCTCGTCTGTTTTTAAAACTTTATAAATAGAATCATATAGCATTCATTCTTTTGTGTCTGAACTGCCTTTGCTCAACATTCTTATGAGATTTACCCAAGTTGTTGCATGTAACTGTGGTTTGTTCATTTTCTTTGCTATATGGCACATTACACCCATGGGCTAAAGGCTTCAGCCTGTTTTTATTTGGATTTCAAGCTAGGAATGGTTTTTTACAATTTTTTAAGTATTGGAAACAAAAATAACATTAAGAATATGTGACAGAGGCTGTGTCTGGCCTGAAAACCCTAAAATATTTACAAGTAGTATGTCAACCCCTGCTGTATTCCATTATATAAATATACCATAATTTATTAATCCATTCTACAGTTAATGATTGATCCAGTTCCCATTTTTTGACTATGACAAATAATGCTGTTATGAACATCTTTGTACTTGGTGTTGTTTTTTTTTAAATATATTTTATTGATTTTTTACAGAGAGGAAGGGAGAGGGATAGAGAGTTAGAAACATCAATGAGAGAGAAACATCCATCAGCTGCCTCTTGCACACCCCCTACTGGGATGTGCCCGCAACCAAGGTACATGCCCTTGACTGGAATAGAACCTGGGACCCTTCAGTCTGCAGGCTGATGCTCTATCCACTGAGCCAAACCGGTTAGGGCTGTACTTGGTGTTTTTTAAAAAATATATTTTATTGATTTTTTACAGAGAGGAAGGGAGAGGGATAGAGAGTTAGAAACATCGATGAGAGAGAAACAGCGATCAGCTGCCTCCTGCAAGCCCCCAATGGGTATCGAACCCGCAAACTGGGCATGTGCCCTGATAGGGAATTGAACCATGACCTCTTGGTTCATAGGTCGACGCTCAACTACTGAGCCATACTGGTCGAGCAAAACATTTACTTTTAAATCTCATCAAAACATACAGTAGGGAGTACTTACTTAAGGATCATAGTCATTGTTTCTTTTCGATCTTTTCCTTGGAAGGGTAGTGTACCAGTGAGCATCTCAAACTACAAAATGGCAGAATAATCAGAGGTATTAGTCAATAGTATAAAATCTCAAGGCCAGAAGGTAAGAAAGTATCATCTTAATTACAACCAAATCTAAAATTGCTATATAATAAAACATATGATTTATATTTCTACTCTCTTCATTACTAACTTCTAAAAAAAAAAGACATTCCAAACCTCACCATTAACACACCAAAAGACCACCAGTCCGCACTTTGAGTATGACCTCGACGATTAACTACTTCTGGAGCCATATATTCCACAGTTCCACAAAAAGAATATGCTTTCTTCTCATGGTCAATAGACTCTTTACTTAGGCCAAAATCTGCCAAAATAAATATAGAATTAATAAATACCCTACAATAATTTGCATATGTAAAGTTTAAACTTAGAGTTCCAATATTTAAAATAATTATAAAAATATTCTAATCCAATACCATGATCGACCTTAAAGGAAATTTATAGAGAGTAGAGAAAGTATTTTAATAAAATGAGAAATTTTACCTGTTAATTTGATGTGACCTTCTTCATCAAGAAGTATGCTGAAAAAAAAAGAGACAAAGTCAGAAAATCTTTTCAAACCACTAGAGATTTACAGATGCTAAAACTAAATTACTTTGTTAAGCCGAACTGGTTTGGCTCAGTGGATAGAGCGTCGGCCTGCGGACTGAAAGGTCCCAGGTTCGATTCCGGTCAAGGGCATGTACCTTGGTTGTGGGCACATCCCCAGTAGGGGGTGTGCAGGAGGCAGCTGATCGATGCTTCTCTCTCATCGATGTTTCTAACTCTCTATTTCTCTCCCTTCCTCTCTGTAAAAAATCAATAAAATATATTTAAAAAAAAATTACTTTGTTAAGCATCAAATCACCACACTCATTCTAAAATAGTGCTTTAGACGGTGAATAAGAAGGTAAAGGTAAAGGAGGAAAAATGTTATTTTTTGGACACATGACTATAACAAATTCCAAAGGTTAAGCTTTATAAACTTGTATTAATGAGCCGGGCGCACTAGAAAACTAATAGAAAAAGAGACAAAATCTATATGCTCTTCTAAGTTGCTCTTTCTAATGCCTTTCTGCAGAGATGACCTAACTAAACTCCCCAGCATAATAGACAGAGGGTCTACATATTTTAGTTGAATGTGCTAGACTTGTCATTTTCTTGGTCATTTTTAAGGCATCTGACTCAATCATTCTTCCCTAGCTTTTTTTCTGACACAACCAACACAATCTTCTTCTCCTCAACACACCTTCCTCACACTCCTTGGTTTTCATTGACCCATCCTTTCACTGTATACATTCTCCAGTGTTTTATCTTCTAGAAGGTCTTATTCATCTAGTAGCTCAGTGCCTGGCAGAGCACAGACAAATAAGAAATGCAGCCCTAGCTGGTTTGGCTCAGTGGAGAGACTGAAGGGTCCTGGGTTCGATTCTGGTCAAGGGCACATGCCCAGTGTGAGGCGTGCAGGAGGCAGCCGATCAATGATTCTCTCTCATCATTGATGTTTCTATCTGTCTGTACCTCTCCCTTCCTTAAAAAAGAAATGCATGTTGAATGAATGGGGCCACTCTACAAAGGGCCAATAAGGCATTCTTAATAGTTTGTGCTTCTTTTCAAGGGCATTGAAGACCATAAAAGGTTTACATGTGTAGAGGGTAGAAATGAACAGATTTACAATTTTAGAAAAAAAATTAGAGGAAAAAATAAGGGGTATTTAATGAGCTCTTAGATATAGGTTGTGATAAAAGAAAAAAATGGAGAAGACACTCAAGTTTCTGGCTTTAGCAAATACATGAGTGGAGAGTAACATCATTAATTAAATACTAAACTGTAAGCCAATTGTGTTTCTGGATAGGTATTTACCAGGAATTATATCTTACGTAATGATAGTTAGAAATTGGGAAAATGATTAGAAAAATCCAGTAATTACACGGGCAATAAAAATAGAATTATATGAAACATCCAAAACAAAATATATGAAAAACCAAACATAAAATATGAAAGTAAACAATTTCTAAATGATCACTTAAAAGGATTCCAAAGGAGTATTTTCTCTGTTTCCTGTTGTAATTATGCAAATTGTGCATGTAACATTGTAATGTAAGTAATATCTAAGTTCTTGATAAAGATGATGCTTGCAAAACTCTGAATATACTAAAAACATTGAATTGTATAATTTAAGTGGATGAATTGTATGCTATGTGAATTATATCTCAATAAAGTTATTTTAAAAATTTCTGATAGAGCAAAGCTCTTGTTTATTTCATTAAAAAGAGGAAAAAACTTTTTTTAAAAATATATTTTATTGATTCTTTACAGAGAAGAAGGGAGAGGGATAGAGAGTTAGAAACATCGATGAGAAACATCAATCAGCTGCCTCCTGCACACCCCCCACTGGGTATGTGCCCGCAACCAAGGTACATGCCCTTGACCGGAATCGAACCTGGGACCCCTGAGTCCACAGGCTGACGCTCTATCCACTGAGCCAAACCAGTTAAGGCGGAAAAAACTTTCTTACTAAAAGTGATAAACACAAATTAAAAATCAGAAGTTCGTACAATTTAAATATTAATAACTGCTGTAATAAAAGCAATGGGAAATTTGCTCAACTCACACTTAAAATCTGAAATCATATGGAGAAGAACATTTTCAATAAACAGTATTTGGAGGAAAGCATTAGCTCTATGCCATACCTCATACCAAAATACTTCTAGATGGAGTTAAAAGTAAAAACAGAAACCATAAAATTAGAAAAAAAAATCTGATCATGGGATTGGAAAAGCCTTTCTAAGAATAAAAGTCAAAGAAAAAAATCACAAAAGAAAAGACTGATATATCTGAGGAAAAAAATACTTGTGTATGTTAAAATAGCATAAATAAAATAAAAAGACAAAACAGAAAAATGTATTTGCAATACAGAGTGGGGCCAAAGCAGGGTTACAGTTGTGAGTACGTGAAACAAAGTTTATTCTTGTATTCTTGTTTATTATAATATTTGTTCCCATATGAACAACTGCAATCCTACTTTTGCCCCACCCTGTATGTCAAATGGTTAAATTCTTAATTTGTAAAGGTGTCTTACAAATCAATGGGCAAAAATAACATTCCAAAAGAAAAATGGGCAAAAGCCATGAACAGAAAAATCACACAAAAATACAAACATATGAAAACAGATTTCAACCTCATTACAAATCAAAGACTGTAAATGAAAGCAAGATAATATTAGCAGAAATTCTGATTAACAGATATTTAAGCCAGCCAGTATGACTTAGTGGTTGAGTGTTGATCCATGAACCAAAAGGTCACCAGTTCGATTCCCTGTCAGGCCACATACCCAGGTGGCCAGCTAGATCCCCAGTAGGGGACCTGTAGGAGGCAGCCAATTGATGATTCTTATCAATGTTTCTATCTCTCTATCCCTCTCCCTCTAAAAATCAATAAAAACATATTTAAAAAATAAAAGTATGAGAATACATAGTCTTAGCAGAAATGCGAAGCATATAGACTCTAATGCAATGCTGTGATAGTTCTATGAAGTAATTTTTACCTTTATTACCTCCTAAACAATGATATTACATTGTATTCAACTTAGTAGTATGATTCCTTACTTTTCTGGTTTTAAGTCTCTATAGATTATTCCCAGGCTATGTAGATGGTCTAAAGCAAGTGCAAGCTCAGCCAAGTAGAATTTGACATCTTCTTCTGTGAACATCACCTAAAATAAAAATAATTTTTCTGTCTTTATTTTCTTTTTGTCTGTAATTTTCATTTAAAGTTCCATCCCAGAGTTTAAATATTAAAAAATTATAACTTTGCTATTACATGTAATTTTACCCACAATTTACATATGAAATTTGCAAAATTATCAGTCAACTAATTACTTACTAAATGCTAAATATGCACTGTGGGAGAAACAATTTTGCATTTTGTTAAGTAACAACTATATTAAGAATATGTGACTGTTGCCCCACAACAGTAATATCTTAGATGAAAAGTGATCTTTAAAATGCATGCTGAATTTCCACTACCAATACTTTAAGGATATCTTGTTGATATATTATTGCTTCTAAGAAAACTGTAACTAAAAGAAGGATGAAAGACCAGGATAATTAATCAATTTAAAGTCCTACTTTCAGAATAAATTCAAAAGGTAAAAACAAAACAAAACACCTCTTTTTGGCTCTGATTCTTCAATGTAAGAATCTTGTGCCACTAGAGAAAATATGATAAACGTAATATTGAAATATAACAAAGCTTTAGCTGAAACAGGGTGAGTATAAATAGATTAAAAACAAAGATTAATCATATACCTCTTTGGATAAGCGTGTAAACAAATCTCCTCCCCTGAGAAAATCCAAAATAAGATACAACTTCCCTTCAGTTTGAAAAGCTGAATGAAGAGAGAAAATTTTTGTTTAATCCACCATAGTTTATTTTCTTAGGCTTATATTAGGTAAACTCATTCATAAATTATTATTTTTAGCAAATTAATAATTATATCATAGACCTAAACTGATTTTTATTTCGAAGATACCCACTGACTTCTCTTAGCTTCCATGTAGAAATGTTAAATGTAGTGTTTCTTTTTATGAAACCACTAGCACATTTGTTAGGTTTTCTTCAGGCAACAGTCTCTGAGAAATACAATAGTTTTAAAACATATGATCAATAAGAAAAATTCCCCAAAGAAAAAGACTTACTTAAACATGAAACAAAATACAAAAACCATCTCACTTTACTACAGAAAAAAAATGTGGGTTGGTTAGCTTTAATTACATATAGTAGGAATCACCATACATTTACCCACTGCGAAAAAGCACACATGCCTTTGGGGGAAAGATAGGCGATAACAGTTTCAGGACATTAGGGATCTTTGTTGTTTTTAAGTTTGGCTAACACATTATTATTAATATAATAAAAATTATTATTATTACCTGTTCCTAGGGCTACCCACTCAGACATGATAATGTTTAAAAGAAACATAAAAGTTAAATGTGATAAAAGCTTCTAAAGTGTGTTCAAGTAATGATTTAATTTCTATGACTTTACTATATATATCTGCTAAACACATAAATATACACAAATAAATATTTATACACATTAGTATATCTGAATGTCATAAGGAAGTGAGGATTGAGGTGAAGAAGTGAGGTGGGAGGTGGTTTATAACTTACCATAATGCAACTTGACAATAAAAGGATGATTAACTTCTACCAAGATATCACGCTCCATTTTTGTCCGAACACGGTCTCGAACTATAAAATATTGCACATATGGCTACATTGCAATAGCTTTCAGAGACAAGCTTTAAAACAAAATGTCTTTGGTGCTTATTTTAAATAAAATTGTGCTTGTATGTATAAAAAAGTAAATCACATTTTATACATTTTACTCTTGAATTTTTAAAATTAATAACTGTATTTTTACCAAATTATATAACCAGAAGAAATTGTATATATTTATAAAATCTGTGCTTTGAGTTAAAAAATAAATACAGAAAACATATTTGATATTGGCATTAACATTAAATTTATAAGTATTTTAATTAAAGTTATAAAAAAATGACCAAAAAAGAGCAACATTTAAAGAATGAGGCATCTCAATGACATCTATATCTATAAAAGGCTAAGTGTCCCTCTGACTGGTAGCTAGATACACACTGACCACCAGGGGGCAGACGTTCAATGCAGGAGCTGCCATGATGTGCACTGGCCATTTAAAAATAAAGGGCACCATGGACCCGCCACCGACAAACCAACACTCACCTTCCCCCAAGTGGGACACAGGCCCTGCCACCACCCTGGAGCGACACCCCACCAAATCGCAGACAATGCTGCCAAGACCCTGTGGAGCAAAATGAAGCCCACAGCCCAGCCCGGAAATGGTGGCTGTGGGCGCCGGGTAATGATGTCATGTAGCAATGCCCGGCTTCCTCTCCCTAGGACTAGCATCCTTAGAGTTTCTTCAGCCCAGGAACACAACTTGCTTTATAGCCAGGTGCAAACATTTTACAGTTTAACCAAATGTTTGTGAAGCGTTTTCCCATGACTCATTTCATTTGATCCTCACAGGAGTCCTGGAGTAGGTAGATAGGAGACTCAGTAGAATCCTATTTTCATCAGTAAGACGCGAATAGCGATATTAAAATATTTCTTCTAATTAATTTCCTTTCAATGTGCACGAATCTGTGCACTGGGACACTAGTTAAAACATAAAAAAGGGAACAGGTTTCAATACCCCTATCAACCCTATCAGCTCAATTCAACAAACATTCATTAAGCATCTAGAACACGTGACAGATATGGGGAAGGGTGGATATATCCCAAAAGATCTATTTTGAGGGGGGAGAAACAGGGGGAGAGGAAATACTATGGTGCAGCTGGTAAAGCAAAGACTTTTTGGAGTTAGAAAAATTTAGATTCAGATTGTGTAATCTTAAGCAAGTTAGTTACTTAAACTCTCTGGGCCTCAGTTACCTTTTATTGATAAAATGGGGATAATACCTCTATACCTCTGGGGAGCTGTGTGACCATTTGAGATGAGGTTTGTACATTCCAGATTCTGGTATATAAGAGATCTTCAATTAAATGGTTGTGATAGCACCATGGATATGGTAAAGAGGTAAAATGATTTATTACTAGTAATAAGTAGCATAGGAATTCAGAAAAGGAAAAGATCAGTGTTACTTATATAGGAAGGCTAGAGGGAAAAGGTAGGGTTAGGGACTTTTAGAGTGGAATTTAGGTGGGTGGGAAGAACTGGGCCTAGAGAAGGAAAGTGCAGGTATGGAATACCAACCGCTAGCAGGAACACAAAGACATGCATAATGAACAGGAAGGAACCAAAACAGTGTGGAAAGTGGGGAGGTGAAGTAGAGAGGATACAGATTATGGACAATTTGAAATGCCAGGAAGAATTTACATTTGACCCTATAGGCAGTTCTCTTTTACAAACCAAACATTTTCCTGAGCAATTCTATATGCCAGGCACTGTGAAGCAAATACAAATAAATAATGTTCAAGAAGCTCATAATCTGGTGGGAATGACTGACAAGTAAATAAATGATTACAATACAATCTGAGAAGCAGTATACTTGTGTTGGTAGCTCAATGGATTTAAGAGGTGAAAATGATCATTCATTAAAGTTTTAATTTTTTTCTGTTGCATAATAAGGATAAATCATAGATAACTTCTATTTTTCAAGGCAGAGTGACTGAATGGTTGTGCCAAAGTTTAAATAAAAAGAATGGTAAAGAGAATCTTTTTGGAGGGGGTCAGAGAGAAAGATGAGTTGGTTTTCCTTTCAATTTAAGGTGACCACAGATATTTAAAACACAGAAATAAGACCTCGGGGAAAAATAAACAAAGAAGCTTAAAAAATCCCGTTTCCCTGTCTACTAGTTTTCCACTTCCAACTGGGGGATTTTGGTGCCAGTGACTGAAAATGGTCAAATCAGGAATAGAAATTGATTGCTCTCAATGTCTATGTAGCTCTTTTTCACTGACCTGTCCAGCTAGTGTATCAAATTCAATACCAACCTCTGATTTCATTATCTTGTCCTATCACTACAACTCTGGTGTCTTATATCCAACAGGCCCTTTCTATTATTTATGTGAATGAGGTTCATCACCTAGGCCTGCTGATAATTGTGTCCCTGTCTAGCCCAAATTTGCCCCCTTTCCACTGCTACTCATACAACCTTGGATTATGTTCCTATTACCTTAATGCTATATTCCAAATTTCTACATTTTTAAAAATATTATACAGATCTTACAAAATTTATCACTTAGGAATCACTCTTCTGTTCAGTAAGCAATAAGTTTATATTCCTCTTCTACTATTCTACCATAATGAAAACAATAATTACCTGGGGGTCAAAAACTATAGTTTAATGGCCATGCTAATATCTAGATGGGTTACCATGGCCAAATCCTTTCACTGCTCAGAAACTTCCTGCTACCTTCTCTATAAAATGAGAGGCTAGAACAAGATGATTTCTTTTTGTTACGATTATCTTGGGAGATAATTTCCTTATATGTAACACTGATGAGACTTTGTCTAGTTGAAAACGTGCAGTGAGAGTCATTCACTAAAGAATTCTTTCATTTTGTCTGAGGTACGACTGTGTAATAATTATAATTTTGTTTCTTTTACTTAGGTAAAGACCTAGTGACAAATATAAATCATCCTACAATCAGGAATTTTGATTAGGATGTACTGGTTTATAACAAGGCATGTTTTATGTGTTTATTAGAGGCCCGGTGCATGAAATTCGTGCATGGGGTGGGGGGAGGGTCCCCTCAGCCCAGCCTGCACCCTCTCCAATCCATGACATCCTTCTCAAAATCCTGGACCACTGGCTCCTAACTGCTCACCTGCCTGCCTGCCTGATTGCCCCTAACTGCCCCCCCTGCCAGCCTGATCGCCCCTCACTGCCCCCCCTGCTGGCCTGGTCGCCCCTAACTACCCCCCTGCCAGCCTGATCACCCCTAACTGTCTCTACCTGCTGGCCTGATCGCCACCAACTGCCCCCCCCCCCACCGGCCTGGTCGCCCCATGCAGCCTGCTGCTCTATCGTTTGGTCGCCCCTCACTAACCCCCTGCCGGCTGGGTCATCCCACGCAGCCTGCTACTCTGTCATTTGGTCACCCCTCACTAATCTCCCTGCCGGCAGGGTCACCCCATGCAGCCTGCTGCTCAGTCGTTTAGTTGTCCTTCACTAACCCCCCTGCTGGCCTGGTCGCCCCACGCAGCCTCTTAGGTTGTCCGTTCGGTTGTGATGGTGGCTTAGGCTTTTATATAGATAGATTATACGTCAGTTAAACTTCAATAAAGCTATTTTCTTTTTTAAATGTTTTTAATTTTAAGTTAATTTATTTTTATTTTTTAAATTATGTTTCTCAATTACAGTTTACAATTGATATTATTTTGTATTAGTTTCAAGTCAATAAAGCTGTTTTTAAAATGAAGAAAAAGGATGTTTTATATTGGTTAAACTCTAAATCTTAATATAGAATTTGTTAATCCTGTCTTGTTGCTGGCAAAGCAACTACATTCCTCTGAAATAATTTTTCTCATATACTAGTTATTAGTTTTTAAATGCCTCTTGACTTAAACATGAGAGTGAATAAGAAGAAGTGCTATTTATGTTTTTAGGGTGATATATTAAGAAATGCTTTAGCCCTAACCGGTTTGGCTCAGTGGATAGAGCGTCAGCCTGTGGACTGAAAGGTCCCAGGTTCGATTCCAGTCAAGGGCATGTACCTTGGTTGCGGGCACATCCCCAGTAGGAGGTGTGCAGGAGGCAGCTGATCGATGTTTCTCTCTCATCGATGTTTCTAACTCTCTATTCCTCTCCCTTCCTCTCTGTAAAAAATCAATAAAATATATTCTAAAAAAAAGATTTACTTTATAAAAAAAAAAAAGAAATGCTTTAAACAATGGCTTACAAAACCTTTTAGGCCCAATTATTATTTTATTAGGATGAAAAATCCCCACAAGCTCAACCTAACGCTATTGATTTTTATTTGACCCCATTTATTGTATTAATAGGAATTTTAGAATGGAAAAAGACTTCTGGTAAAACATGGATGTTTTATTCCAAAACGCCATTGAGATTACAATAATGGAAAAATTATGCACAAACTCACAAGGACAGAGAACAGGAGAGGAAGCAGTTAGGAGAGGAAGCAGAAGATGTGTAAGTGGTAACTCACACAACAGATCAGAGAAAGCTAAAATCTAAGCCTAAGGGAAGGAAGCCAATGAGTAATTCTTGCCATAGAATCCTTTCCAATTAGCTTTTTGCTATCTCACTCTTAAGCAAGGAAAAGATAGCAAAGGATCCCCAGGCATTTGAGGAAAAATGCTTTAATATGAGAAAGTATCTGAATAAACAGAAAAAAAGGAATAAAGTAAAAAAGAGACAATGTAAAGACAGAAGAAAATTTAAACAAAACAAAATTCAACATAATTTATATCCACCAAGAGACTGAAGACCATATGGCACCCATGAAACAAAAAGCTTTCAAAGAGGTAGAGGGGAAAGAAACAGTATTGTCAACAAGTACAGTACAATGAAAAAACACACAAAAAGAAATGGAGACAGAGCTCATAGGTTAAAAGACTTAAAGAGATATAAACCAATTGCAAAATACAGATCTTACATAGATCCCAATTCAAACAATTGCAAAAAGGAAAATGAATTATAATAACAAGGACAACTGGAAATTTGAACATTATCTGTACATTAATTTTCAGGTATATGATAGAATTATAGTACTTCTTTCAAGAGTCTTTGTCTTTTAGAGATACATACTAAAATATTTATGGAAGAAATTATACAATGTTTGGGATTTGCTTTAAATATCATGAGTTGAGAAATATTGAAGCAGAAAGAAGGGTATATGGGGTTCTCTATATCCTTCTGTTTCTTTCTCTAAATGTTTGACACCATAATAAAATGTTTTACAAAACATTCCTAGAGAACAAGGAAAATCTAGAAAATTAAAAATATGATAGAAACAAACAAACAAAAAAATCAATAGAAGGATTACAATACTTTCCTAAAACTGAAGAAATGAGTTTCTAAATCAAAAGAGACATCCCATATCTAGTATGATGAATTTTAAAAATTCACAATAAGAAGTACTACTATACAAATTTCAGAACACCAGGGATAAAGAGTAGATTGATTCTAAAGACTTCCAAAGAGGAAAAGCAGCGTACACACAAAGGACTAGAAATCAGAATGACAATAAACTTCATAATTCCAACACAGGAAACTAGAAAACAATGGAAACAATGCCTTCAAATATCTGAGGGAAAATTATTTCTGACCTAGAACTTTACACCCAGCCAAATTATAGATTAAGTGAGGAGGTAGAATAAAGGCATTTCAGAAATGCAAGGTCACAAAAAAATTTACCATCCATTCACCCTTTCTGAGGTAGCTACTAGAAGATGTGTTCCACCAAAACTAAGAAAGTAAACTGAGAAACAGGTAGATACAGAATTTAGAAAAGGAGATCTAACACAGCAAAGATGGGAAGGAAATGTGACTCCAGTATATCATTTGGCTCAGAACAATTTTTATAAAGCTGCAATAATGAAAACAAAACATGAAGAGGGAAATTGTGTGAGGGTAGAAGTATAGGAAAACTAAATCCTAATCTTCCATATTAGGATGCCAATAGGTTATGTCTCCAAATGAAAACAATAAAAAATTTTGCAATATAAGAGTATTGAATATGGAGGTAAATGGCGGGAGAAGCAGCTAAAGAGGTGAAAGTCATTGTTTCTGGGATAGGGAGGATAGGTAAAGCACTGCTATTTTATAAGAATCTATATACATACTAGAGGCCCGGTGCACGACATTCGTGCACTGGGAGATGGGTCCTTCAGCCCAGCCTGCACCCTCTCACAGTCTGGAACCCCTTGGGGGATGTCCGACTGCCAGCTTAGGCCCGCTCCCTGGCAGTTGGACATCCCCGAAGGGTCCTTAGCTCTGCTGCGGAGGCCGCTGCGCTCGCCAGCTGTGAGCCCGGTTTCTGGCTGAGCAGTGCTCCCCCTGTGGGAGCGCACTGACCACCAGGGGGCAGCTCCTGCATTGAGCGTCTGCCACCTGGTAGTCAGTGTGTGTCATAGCCACCGCCTGTTCTGCCGATCGGTCGATTTGCATATTAGCCTTTTATTATATAGGATAGGGTTTAAGAGAAGACTCTTAATTTTTCCAGGTTGCTCAGGAGTATTTCAGACAAAATTTATGAAATAAATATTTAATTTCCCATTATTCTACATACCTGGCTTTGTCATACAGCAAGGGAATATTCAACATTTTTGTAAAAAACACATTAAAATTTAATATAAATACTTTTGTACTATTTTTTGTTGTTGTTGATCCTCACCTGAGGATATTTTTTCCATTGATTTTTTTAGAGAGTGGAAGGGAGGGGGAGAGACAGAGAGAGAGAAACATCAATTTGAGAGAGACACATTGATTGGTTGCCTCCCCCACGAGCCCTGACCAGGGCCGGGGATCAAGCCTGCAACCAAGGTTTGTGGCCCTTGATGGAATCAAACCCGTGACCCTTCAGTCCATGGGTCAGAGTTCTACCCACTAAGCAAACCGGCTAAGGCCTTTTGTCCTATTTTGTTCTACTAATTTCTATGTCTGTATTATTCTCTTCCAATAACACACTGAATTATAACTGCTTTAAATAAGCTTTAAATCTGATAAGATTGTTCCTTTGTCATCTTTTTTAGACTACTGTTTGAGATGTATGCTTTTCAAATGAAATTTTGAGTATTTCAAGGAAAAATGCAACTGGAATATTAAAGATATGGAGCTAACTAGATGGCTAGAGGAATATCAAGACTCTTAACAACAATTAGCTTTCTCTAAAAGGAATTGGCATTTATTTCTTTTCCTGGTATCTTTTAGGTTTCTCTGAGTTTCATAGTTTCTTTTTCATATATACAATACAAATCCTGTTATATATATGAAAACAAAATACTTTTATTGATTTTGTGAATGAATACTTACATAAGTTCCATCTATGCAGTTTTATAACATGGGATTCATGAGTACAAAGTTATAAAAGTAGCGATATCAAATAGGGCACTGAGGATATAATTTAACTCTCTGGTCCTAGAATGAACCAAGTTAAGTAGTAAGGCAGGGGGTAGAGACTAGGTAAGAAACAAAATACATTCAAGAAGGGAGCAAGAGAAAGAAAGCAAAGGATGATGTTTATAGAGGAAGGTGAATTTTCTTGGAACGATGATAATGCCCAGGGTAGGTGACTCATTGGGAAGAATAAATGGTTATCACCAATGTTCCTCCAGAATATTTTAAAAGTTTTAGAAATGACAGACAAATTGAGGAGGAAAAAAATGATGTTAGGAATCAATACATAAGACTAGAGACTTTGTGGTAAAATAACTACTACTACTAAATAAAAGAAAGACTTAAGCATTTAAATATCTATGTACAACTTCTTCTAAATGACTGCTTAACTATAAGAGCCAAATTCTACATTACATTTTTTCAAAATTAAGAGACTTGGAATAAAAACTTACTTGGAGACCAGGTGTCCTTAGAATAAAATCTATTTTGCATCCAGTAAAATAGTAAGTTTTCAAAACATTAAAATAATTGTATCAATTTAAGATGAATCAAATTCAGTTTTAATCTTATAAACTTATACTTGTCTAAAGCCCAAGAGAATTTATAATACTTCTTCTATAACATGGCAACTCCCATTCTCACTAGTCAGATGATTCCTAACCCAGTAGAAAAAATTCACCGAAAGAAAGTTTAAATTTAAATATGGTAACAGAAACAGATTCAGAATGTAATTGGCCTAGGAGTCACATGAGGGCTATTGAGACCTTTTAGTTTGTTTATATTACATGAACATTACAAATAGTAGCAGTACTTACCTTTCAAAGTGGCCTTCTTCAATACTTTCATGGCATAAAGCTGTCTAGCATCAGAGCCTGAGATTTTTTTGACTAAGAAAACCTGTATTTAAATAAGATAAAATAAATTTTACAAAGTTTCACAAACTATACCATTTTAAAATAAGAATTCTGCTATATCATTTATTATTAGAAAGATTCTGATATTTCTTTTGTTGTTTGTTAAATCCCAAAGAGCATGTTAACATATAAATGTAACTTAGCAAGCACTTACCTTTTAAAAATGGATCACATATATCTAAATATGAAGAACCACAATTCCTAGATATGTTATTGAGCATCTTCATTTTCCAAATATTTTTAGCTCCTTTCTACATATAGTATGGGATTTATATAAAACCAATCACACCCGCTCTAAATAGTTCATGGATACGCTATAACATGTATAATGCAAAACTATCAATAAAGCTCTTCTCATTTTGACCATTAATTTCATGATTTTTTTCATCAAACCTTTACACAGACCTGCAAATGGATCTGAATATGAATTCTTTTTCTCCTATCCATTCTTTTCTAGCAGTGTTATTATGCTGCCACAGATAGGAAGAAGAGACAATTACAATCAAGAATTAATTTAGGGTTGGCTCTCAATTATCTGCATTAGCGCGCGCGCGCGCGCGCACACACACACACACACACACACACACAGATTCAACTGGTTCTAGGGCAAAGCAGAGTTCCTCACTCTGAGAAACTGTGCTAAAGGTAATGGGCAATGACTTCAATTTAATTGAAGAGTACCAGAATTTGCACAGAAACCCTGATACAGAGTGTGTTCCTCTCCCCAAGCCACTCCCCTTAACCCCCTTTACCATGCACCACCCTTTAGCTCCTTCCAGCCATTTAACAGTAAGCCAACGTAGGGAAAGAAAAGCATTCTTAATCAGAGTGGTTCCTATGGATGGAATGATGTTCAAATATTAAGGGTTATCAGAAATTACTATTTTTGAACAGAAATAAATTCTAATTAGGTGGAGGTTATTAGGATTTATCTGATATTTATTCAGTCTTAAGATTCCCTAACCAAGCTTCTTTGTGCCATTTTACAAGAAAAATTCTCCTGGTGATTCCAAACTTTTTTCACCCTTCTCTGAAAGCACATTCTTTTTTTTAAAAAAAATTTTTTTGCAGTGATTTCAGAGAGGAAGGGAAAGGGAGCTAGAAACATCAATGATGAGAGAGAATCACTGGGGGTCAAGCCCGCAACCCTGGCATGTGCCTTGATTGGGAATCTAACCATGACCTCCTGGTTCATAGGTTGACGTTCAGTCACTTAGCCATACCGGCCCAGCTAAAAGCACGTTCTTAACACTTTACAGCACTTCTTAGTTTATAAAGAACCTTCTTCACAAGTATTTTTAATACATCATCACGATAATTTTGGGGAGGTAGACCTACTAAGTAATTCCTGTTTTACAGCTGCCCAAGCTAGGGATTAGAGTGGTTAAATAATTTGTCTAGTATTACAGTGAAGGCATTGAGACAAGAACCAAGCCAGCCATCCAGTTTTGTGCTCCTGCTCAGTGCCCTCTTAATCCAGTCCCTTTGGCCTGTCAAACATAGCAGGAACAGCAGTCCCAGATGCCATCAGATCTTCCCCCACCAGAGCATTTCTGACCTTTCGAACTCCTCCATGAAGCTATTCTAGGCTGACAGGTCATCCCTGCTTCCTTGGCTTGGACTGGCTTTTTAGGGTGAGTAAGGAAGGAGACTTTTTTTATGTTTGCTATTTATAGTAAGGTATTTAAATAAATAAAAGGAGAAGCATGCTAACCCCGGGAAACTTACTAAATAATATGTTCCCTGAAAATCTTAATGTATAGAAATAAATCCCTCTATTTGGGTTTATCTGTATATATTGCATAATGCAATTTCATTGCAGATGTTATATATTTGGCCTTATATCTTACTACAACCCTATGAGGTCAGGACTATTATTTACTCATTAATTCCTTTCTAGAATTATGTGCTAGCTACTGTGTTTCCATTTCAATGCTGAGACATGGTACAAAGCATGGCCACTGCACTCATAGAATATATAGTCTATTGGGGGAGATAGCCAATAAACAAATAATTAAAATGAAAAGCTATTAATTGTGGTGAGTGCTGTGAAGATAAGGAATATGATGTTGAGAGGGTAAAATAGGGAAAGATAGCCCAAGTTAGGAGCACTTTCAAGAGTCCAGGGAGAAATAGTGGTGCATAGACTGGAGGAGTGGCAGTGGAGGAGAGGACAGGCATGATTTGAGGAATCTTTACTAAATCCACAGGACTTTCTGATGGATCAGTTTGGTAGTGGGGGTGGGGTGTGGGAAGGGAAGGGAGGACTAGAAGGATTGGAGATACAAATCTGTTACATCGACTATATATTGGTTATAATTAAGATAGGGAGCATAGAGAAATTAGTAATGAGTAGAGTGAGAAGGCAGCTGAGAATGAGAACTTTGAAGAACTTCAATACTAAATGACTAACTAGAAGGAAAAATGGGAGCTGCTAGAGGTTTAGCACACACAGCAAGTAAGTAGCCTAAACTCACAACTATTATGTTCTGCTGGCTAATCTATATTTGGATTAAAAGCATCACTTTGGATTTGAAAGATGTTAATGGCTATAACAAATTATCTATGTTAGCCAAGAATTGCTAACTAGTCCCATAAAAATATATAAGAGAGCTTAAACTGGTGTTGTTTTGAAGCTTGCAAAGTATATCTTCAAATGTTTCCTCACAGAGAAGTGGGAAGGAAGCCCTGCAATGTGAAAGTTGAATGCAATCTCAGAATTTTCCTGTTGCTGTGAAAGGGACTAGAGAGATCAAGTAGCAGTAATTATAATACTGAAGTCCTCAAATTGGAGTACAGGAAGTATTTGTGAGGTGTGTGGTAGGGGGACAAGGAATACTGAAAGAAAACTGATAAAGATGTTACATCTGCTGGAACAATTTTTAGTTGGTGGTTTTGGGAAATATTTTTTTTATTGATTTCAGAGAGAGGAAAGGAGAGGGAGAGAGAAATGGAAACATCAGTGATGAGAGATTGTTTGGCTGCCTCCGGCACACCCCACACTGAGGTTTGAGCCTGCAACTCGGGCATGTGCCCTGATTGGGAATCAAACCATGACCTCCTGGTTCATGGGTCAAAGCTCAACTACTGAGCCACACCTGGCAGACCGGGAAATAGTTTCAATATTAAAAACAAACACGGAGATCATTAATAGAATGCAATGCTTGCATTCATTTTAAAGATAAACTATAACTCCCCCCAATTCCAAACTTGTAAGTGGTAACCCCCACACTAGTTTCTTGGGAATACCCATTCACTTCCTGCTGGTATTAGGGAGACTGTGAAGGAAAGACAGAGATGCACTGCAAGATTACCTTTCAATTCTATACAAGGATTCAAAGAGGCCAGTGTATCCAGGGAACATTTTTGGATTTTTAATCACTCAAGAAGTGATTAAAGGCCATATGGACTTGAAGATAAAGTAAATATGAAGTAAATACTGCCAATTTATGAAACTTTCCAATGTATTTTTGAATGACTTTGTTAACTTTCCCACACTTATTGATAGTCAGAAATGTGAAAACAGAGAAAATACTGCTTGTAGGGAGATCAGTGTAGTATTTCATAAAATATTTCTGTTCCCCATCCATATGAAATATACATGAATTCCAAAAAGCAACTTTTAAAAAAACACATACTCTTGACTTACTTTTCCAAATGATCCCTGCCCTAATACTTTTAAAAGTTCAAATTGGGAAGGATCTGCCTTTTCATGTCCTTCCTTTACATGATGTGTGATTGCAATTTCTTTGATACTGCCTTCTTCCTGTTGATGCAAAAATAAAGGGAAAAAACAGAGTCAGAGCTACTTCTTCCAGGCATAAATCAAGCAATATAACTTTAGCAAATCATATTAGAAATCCTCACATTAACATACACAAACCACCTTTACTGATCCACCAAGTAAAGAGAAAACATACTAGTATGCCAAGCAAATATTACTTTCAAGTTAAATGTCAGGGACAAATACCAGCCTACCACATTTTTTTCTTTTCTTCTTTTTGCCTACAATAATATTTTTTGTAGTGCATATGAACTATTAGAATTTAAATGTGTTACACAAACATAAACAATTATTTTTATTATTATCATATTCCATATAAATGTTTGAGATCAATCAACATTTTCTGAGACATTCACAAAATATTGGCAATACATATAGGGAATGACAAAGATTTCTTAAAAAGATATAGCAGGGTATCCTAATGTGGTAGCTTTTGAAACGAGCAGTAAAAGGAAAATAAGCTCTCCCTAGCTGCTTTGGCTCAGTGGATAGAGCATCCGTCAGAGGACTGACGGTCACTGGTTTGATTCTGGACAAGGGCATGTACCTCGGTTGCAGGCTCCACCAGGGATGGGGCACATGCAGGAGGCAACCAATCGATGTGTCTCTCTCACACTGATGTTTCCCTCTGTCTTTCCCTCTCCCTTCCATTGTCTCTGAAAATCAATGGAAAAATGTCCTTGGGTGAGAATTATAAAAGGAGAGAGAGAGAGAGAGAGAGAGAGAGAGAGAGAGAGAGAGAGAGAGAGAGAGAGAGCGCTTCTGTAAGAGGACAAAAAAAGAACCCAGGCCCACCATTTTACCCTGTAAGTTAGAAGCTGTATTTTGTAGACTGTCCTATTACTTAGGCAGCTTAATCATTTTAGACTCTCTCAAAACTTTGGCAACAATAATAAAACAATCCCCTAATAGGGTGTAGTCCTTTGTCATTTCACATGCATTATTTCCTTTCATTCTCACAACAATCCTGTGCAGTAGGCATTAGAGGAGAATCTAGCATCAGCTGACTCTATGATTCGACCGCCTTTCCTGGGCACTTTTCTCCAAATGAGACCAATGTATAAGGGCCTGAGAGTGATAGCTGCTCATAGCTACATTAGGAAAGAGGAAAGCAAGTTTAAAAAAACTTTAAAAAAACAAAAAACCCCCAATGTATATCTGCAATTGATTAAGATTTAGATTAAAATCCAGCAAATGTTTATTAAAAGTACCTACCATATATCAAGTCCAGGTTAGATGCTTTTTCACCATGTATGTATGTATGTATGTATGTATGTATGTATGTTGATTTCAGAGAGGAAGGGAGAGGGGGAGAGAAAGAGATAGAAACATCAATGATGAGAGAAAACCATGGATTGGCTGCCCCCTGCACGCCACCTATTGGGGATCGAGCCCACAGTCTGGGCATGTGCACTTGACCAGAATCAAACCCGTGACCCTTCAGTCCGCAAGTTGACACTCTATTCACTGAGCCAAACCGGCTAGGGCACTTTTTCACCTTTTATCTAACATTTATGCTTCACGACAAATCTTTGACTACATATCAGTGTTAGAGAGAAGTGACGATAACACAGTGGAGTACTCCCCAGAGCAAGCAAAAACATTTCAGAATTCTCTACTGACTCCCTCAATTCACCACTGGAAAACTGACAGATTTTTAAAAGGCAAAAATGATTTGAATACTGTACAGTCTGAAGTTTAAAAAGATTAAGTAAAGATCACAAGCCAGTAACTGACAGACTTAGGGCTCAATTCCAGATCTTCTGACCTCTAATGACTTCTAAAACAAAGCTCTTAGCATTACAACCACGCTGAGACTGTCAGAGGCTCTTGGTGGTTCCCCATCCAAGATCAGTGACAGTAACAAACTAACTTACTCCCCTCGTCTTTGTAACTGGTATGTATCTCTTGGGTCAGTTAGCTAAACTGATTAGAGAAGTAGTCTCTGAACTTTTGGTAGCACATCCTTATTAGTAATAACAATTTAGCATATACCAAATATTTGTATACTTGTTAGCTTACAAATTATATACATGTACTTTTTGTATTAAATTATATACATTATACATGGAAATGAAACTATAAAGAAGTTTTCTTCTTTATTTTCTGTACCCCAAAGTACTGTTACTTCACACTTTGGTTTCTAGATTAGTCTAGAAACCAAGTTCATGGATTGGATTCTAGCATGTGCCAGTTAGCTTCCTATGGGAAAAAAAACTATCTGTTCAAGAGTCTAACAGGAATCTAATGTCCTTAAGTCATGAGGCTGTGAAGAACTATACTATGTACCATTCTCTATGTTTTACCACTGTTCTTTATTGGGTAAGTGGGATGTGACTTATTAGGCTGTAATATTTTATCATCTTATATTTCACAGCAAATACCTACAATTGTCTGTCACAAATAAAGATGCAACACAGGCAGGAAAGGATCACTAAAATAGAAAAGTTTTGTATTTTGTTGTAGGCATACAGGATTAAGCCTTACTCTCATAGTGTGAGCTATAATCAGGCTATGGATCTCAAAATAAATAGCAGTTACTATTCAAGAAAGAGTTCATCTTATGTCTACCCTTCCTTTCTTCTGTCAAAAAGTTACTAAAAACAGTCTCCCTTTGATTCCTTCATTCAATAAACATATAATAAAACACATACAATGTATCAAGCATGGTACTGGGAATACTTTTCATTTTTTTCTATTTCCAATATCATCCAGGTCTAATCCTTTATCATCTTTCCTGTAGAAAACTGAAATTAGCTTGGCTACTCAACATGCCCCTTTCTGCCACTGCCAATAAAATTCATCCTCCTGACAAATTCATTTTCTGAAAGCAGACATATGACCAGACGGCTCAAAAACTCCTCCAAATTTTCTCTAATTAAATGCATTGCTTCACTTTGGCATTTGAGGCCCTCTACAATATGGCCTCAACCTTCTCTTCCGGTATTATTCCCAACATTCCCTTACATGTAGCCTGCCAACCTGGGTTATTTTCTGTTCCCTATTTTTCTTAATCAAAAGTAATACATACATGCACGTGACAAACCAGTGACAGAATAGCTTATGATAAAAAGAAAGTCTCTCCTTATCTCCAAACGTAGCTTTTTTAAAAAATTAGTTCTTTCAGCACTTACATTAGTTCTTAATTTGTTAACTTAAGACAATGCCTACTAATTTAAAAAGAAAGATGGACTAACTTATATTATGCCCCTTCCTTCCATTATCTTCCTCCCTGCTGTTTGATAATTATATTACTTTTACATAAACCTCTTGTCTTTTCTATCAGTTTTTTTTGATAGAATCCTAATTCTTTACTTTGTAAAAGGAAGCTAATAGTGCCCATAATTCTCTGGAATCCCCCCCCCCCCCCCCGCGTGCTGCTAGCTGTATCTTTACATTTTTATTAATATTAAGACAATTAACATTCTCTCCTGTAACCACAACCAAATCCTTCATGCTTTCTCTACAGCCTGATTCTAAAAACTGAAAGTTTATACAACAGCATCCATATTTTCATGACAATATATTGGTCAAACACAGGCTAAGAAGTATATTAAATTTCCTTTTACACATGGACCTATAACAGTGACTTCCAGAATAATAATCCAAGGGGACTTAAAAATAACAACACTTCTTCAAATATTTAAATTCATGATACACTTCAACTTTGATTTCCCTAGATTTCTTGTAGTTTTCTATTTTTCCTGTTTCTAACAGCCCCAAATCATTCTTGTGGGGAGGGAGACATTAATTTGATCATTATTCTTAATCTTTTCTTAGCCCTTAACCATACTTTTCATTCTTCTGAGAGCCCTCTCTTCCCCCTACTACCCCCCAGTGGGATGGGTTGTTTTCTAGCTCATGTTGCACAGCTATTATCTTGGGATATCTCTTTCCTGGTTGAATTCACTATTTTTAGTTTCCATGTCTTTCTCTTTCTTGGATTACTCCCTTGTAACTTCCTAAGAAAGGTGATGTGGAAGAAAATTTTCTGAACCTTGAACATCTGAAAATGTCTTTATTTTGTTTTCACGTTTGTATAGTTTGGCTTGGTACCAAATTCTAGAATAAAAACAACCTTGCCTCAGAATGTCAACGCCATTGGTCCATTGCCTTCTAGCAACTAGGGCTGCTGCTGAGATGGGTGATGCTAGCCTGATATAAACATTTTGGTAGGTGACTTTAAGATTTTTCTCTGTCCTTATACTTCTGAAATGCCACACTAGTGAGATACCGGTAAATACGGGTCTTTTTTCCTTCAGAATGCTAGATGCTTGGTGAACCTTTATAATCTAAAGACCTGAATTCCTTACCTCTGGGGAACTCAAACATTTCTTTGATAACTTCCTACCATCCAGGGTTTCTCTCTTCGCAGCTCCTTTATTAATTGGAAATTGTATGTTTGGAATTGAATCCTTTATGTCACTTATCTTTTTTCTCCTATTATCTGTCTCTATTTTTCTGACTTTATTTTCTTACCCTTATACTGAACTTTGTATTCTGGTAAATTTTATCTTTAAATAAATAAATTTTCAAGTACTCCTTTTCTTAATGTTTCTTTTTTTAAAAATAGCACCTTCCTCCACTTCCTATCATATCCCCCCACCCAAAGTGAATGCAATCATTCCAAATCTCTGTGAGGATACAAACTGGAATTTTAAAAATCCTTTTCTAAATTGGGGCTCAGAGAGTACAAAAAATGTTCTTGGGAGTGGAGAAAAAAGATCAATGCTTATGGCTCAAGTTCCAAAAAACGTGTCACTGTTTTATCCTCAATACATTTTTCTGTTCCTTCCAAGTTCAATTTTTACTAAGCACATCAGCAAACTATATTCTATCTACTTTTATGTATATGTGAAGTCATAGTAGCATAATAGGTAAAATATCCGTGATGACCAGATTGTGCTTAATGTCACCAATTTTCCAAGTTATGGAACCCAAAGTATTTTATTTTATATTTACTTTTTTTAAACCATAAGTAT